GGATAAAGAAAGTTTTCTTTTTAGGCAGAATACCAATAAACTCGGAAGAATTTAAAAAAGGAAGGGGGGGAGGGAGAGAGGGCCCTCGGCTGAGCTTTCCGCATTGATTTTTTCTTTCTTTGCTACATTTGAATTGTTCTTCTCATTTACCCTCTACAACCCAGCTTTTTATTTTGGGCATCGGTTAAATCATCTTTTCTCATAGAAGATTATATTTATGTACCCAACAAACCACTGCTGACACCAACAAGCATTGGGATTTACCATGAAGTCGGGGTGGGGGGAGGGGGTAGAATGCTCTCCTTTGGAGATACAGGACAGACAGCTAAGCCTGCCTATCCTCTGCCACTAGGATCCACCCCATCCCTGTTCCTTTGAGCCCATCTTATACATCAGAGGTCAGGTGCAGGGTTCCTTCTGGAAGGCAGTATAAGATAATACTGGGGGGAATTGGAAGGAACTTAAGTGCCTTTGTCCTGCATAATGAATAGAGCTTGATCTTTTTCCTTTTCTTTTCCTCTTTCTTCCCCAGACCCCCTCCCCCTCGTTTTTTTAAAACATATTTTATTGATTTCAGAGAGGAAGGGAGAGGGAGAGAGAAACAGAAATATCAATGATGAGAATCATTGATCGGCTGCCTCCTGCACGCCCCCCACCAGGGATTGAGCCTGCAACCTGGGCATGTGCCCTGACCATGACCGGGAATTGAACTGTGACCTCCGGGTTCATAGGTTGACGCTCAACCATTAAGCCATGCAGGCTGGGCCCTCCCTTTTTTATTTTTTTAAATATAAATTCTCATTGATTGGGGAAATATATTCACACTTTAAAATGTTGTGCAGGGACTTTCTCTGGTCCAAGTATGTCCCTTTGGGGGGAGAATATGTATTTCACGGTGATGAATTCACTTCATCAGTAGAAAAACTGTACACAAATATACTGCTAGGATAATACCTGGCAGCAGCCTTTCTATGTCTCTGAATCAAGATTTCCTATCCTGACCTATGACGAGATTACAGTTTTCACGGTAACCGACCCATCCAGGGAAAGCTGCTGTAATTTACAGCAGGCTTGCAGCGAAACAGCCAGTGGACGATCATCAATTTAAACTGTAAATAAGGGCCTGCTTTGTTCTGGACTCTGATCCCAGGAACGCCCCTAACAAACTGCCTGCAAAGCCAGGGCAGGCCTGCTGCCTGAGACCAGTGATTGAAGAACCCCACTGGTCCTCAGGAGCAGCTAAAAATAGCAATGAGAACAGGAAGGCAAAACAGGTTTCTGGGACCGCAAGGCAGTGACCCCGATGTCAGTTTTCTTCCAGTGGCTCCCACAGATATGAAAAGCAAATAGAAATATCTGGTACAAAAGATGTTCCCTGGTTTTGGAGCTCCCTAGGGAACTCAAAGAACTAACACAACCCTTTACAGGAGCCTGCCTCTTCGCTGGAGGGCGCAGAAGTCCTGGGGGAATTGGAAGAAACTTAAGGGCCTTTGTCCTGCATAATTAATACAGCTTGATCTTTTCCTTTTCTTTTCCTCTTTCTCCTCCCCCCTCTTTTTTAATCTAAATCTTCACTGATTGGGGAAATACATTCACACTTTAAAATGTTGTGCAGGTACTATCTCTGGTCCAAGTATGTCCCGTTGGGGGAAGAAATACGTATTTCATGGTGATATTCACTTTATAAGTAGAAAAACTGGACACAAATATACTGCTATGTCAACTTTATTGATTTCGGAACCATTGGAAAGACCTCCATGGTCCTCCAATATTTCTTAAATCTATCAACATCGCGGAAAGTGACCCTGAAGGCCTCCGTTATCTGTAGAGGAAGAGAGGCAAACCCTTCTCTTACTCCCATAAATACGGTGACTTAAACAGCTCAGGCCTGGCTCTGCTTCTGGAATGGAGCTGTCCCAGAGGAAACCATTGTCTCACAGTCATAAGCAACCCCTTCTCTTTCTCTGGACTTAGGGTTGGCCAAGTCTTGCTTTCAGCAAAACTCCCGTGGCCAAACGCCCTCTCTAAAGTCCCCCAGATAGCTCTAGATTCAGGTGCAGTGGGAGTGAGACTGGGATACTGACATGAGTGGACTCCATGGCAGGGCACCTTGCTGTATGCTGTCTAAGCTTTCCTTTCAGTCTCAGGAGCTACCTACCTCAGGACTTCAGAGTCTCACTCTTCAAGTCCTGCTCCTGCAAACAATCTCGGAATCTCTAGGTCATCACCTATTCTGATGCTAATGAAAAGACTATGCTTACTTATGATATTTGACATCTTATATATTTTAAAATATATTTTTATTGATTTCAGAGAGGAAGGGAGAGATAGAAACATCAATGATGACAGAGAATCATCGATTGGTTGACTCCTGCATGGGGATCCAGCCGGCAACCTGGGCATGTGCCCTGACCAGGAATTGAACCACGGCCTCCTGGTTAATGGGTCAATGCTCAACCACTGAGTCACGCTGGCTGGGCAAAATCTTGTAATTTTAAATCATATTTTCTTCTAATGGACATTAGATTAGAACAATTCTCAGACCTCTTCTAGTAAATTTCTTTGTTTTGCCTAGATCAGTTTACAAAGGGGAAATGTAAATGACTCACCCACAGTCACCTGCAAGGTGGAAATATTCTCGAGGAAACTTTCAATGACAAAAATGTCATGTTCCATTTATTACGAAAATACAGGACCTCTGAGGGTGGAACGCTGGCTTATTTCTCTTTGCAGCCTATGGTGCTTACAGTTTGTTGATTGCTAAACAAAATTTATTAAAAATGTGAACTAGAGGAAAAATCAATAGGGTTTACAAGAATTGATTCAAAGCCAAGCAAAATAACTAAAGCTCATCACAAAAATAAAGGATAGCCCAGCCAGTGTAGCTCAATGGTTGAGTGTCGACTTATGAACTAGGAGGTCATGGTTCAATTACCGGTCAGGGCACATGCCAGGATCGTGGGCTGGATCCCCAGTGTGAGGCATGCAGGAGGCAGTCAATTCTCTCTCATCATTGGTATTTCTTTCTCTCCCTCTCCTTTCCTCTCTGAAATCGATAAAAATATTTTTTAGAGAATATAAGTTCAGCTCCTCAATTTAGTTCTATATACAGCAGATCAAAATTGTCTATATCTAATTATTGATGATGGACCAATAATCAGCCAGTAAGGGGGTGATAGGAATGTTCAGGGTCTATCTCTCAACATTGAAGATGACATTATTAAACTGTGGTGTGTAATACTGTGGCCATCAGCCACATGTGGGCACTTGCCTCTAAATGAATTAACATTACGTAAAATGTAAAACCCAGTTCCTCGGTCACACTAGCCATATTTCAAAATACTCAAGACCCCAAGTGGTTCCTGTCTACAGTACTGGACAGCATAGAGCAACATTCCTATTACTGTAGAAAGTTCTAATGAACACTGCTATTTATAGAGGATAATCACTACTGTGACCTCCAATAATTATATGAAGGAGGAGGAAAAAGAAGGTGAGAAAAGAAGAACAAAGGGAAGAGAAAACATTGATTAAGTTAACTAGTCTGTGCTAAACACTGGAAATGACTTATTTCATATAATATTCACAATTCTCCTCCTGAGGTATGTCCTATAATTATCCTCTATTTTACAATTGATGACACTGTGCTTGGAGGAGTAAGAACATCACCATAGTTGTACACTTGCTAATTGGCTTAGCTGGGTTTTTACTCCAGCCATCGGACCAGAGTCTATGGGCACCTGGAAAGTTCTGCTGCTCCTATTGAAGAACTTGACATGCTTAGAGCTACAGGGAACATTATACTTTGCATAAGTGGTTCTTCATCCTAGACACAAACCAGAAGCATCTGGGGAGTTTGCTCAAGGTACCTGAGCCCTAATCCCGAGCAATCGGATGGGACCGGGGCTTGGACATTTGGGGACCGCTTAGTGCTTTGAATGTGCAGCCAGTGTTGAAGATAACTGTTTAGAGTTGTTCTCATCCACCTTCCACAGTCTGGGTAACAAAATGAAGACCCTGCCCAAGGCCATTAACAGTCACTACTGACATATCTGAAATTTTCTTATTTAAAAGCAAACATTTTCTTCCTAAGAAAATATCTCTCTTGGAAGAGTAATAGGAGCAGTATATTGTACTATGACTGTCAACCACGAGACCTGAATTCTAGTCCAAACTGTGCCCATAACTGCCATGGGAGCAAACCACTTCTTTTCTTTATTATTTTTTAAAATATATTTTTATTGATTTTTTACAGAGAGGAAGGGAGAGAGATAGAGAGTTAGAAACATCGATGAGAGAGAAGCATCGATCAGCTGCCTCCTGCACATCTCCCACTGGGGATGTGCCCGCAACCCAGGTACATGCCCTTGACCGGAATCGAACCTGGGACCTTTCAGTCCGCAGGCCGACGCTCTATCCACCGAGCCAAACCAGTTTCAGCCACTTCTTTTCTTTAAACCTTAGTTTTCTCACCTGTAAAATTAGGGTGTGCTATATGGTGATCTGCCGGGTTCATTCCAGCAGTAACTCCATCCTGGCGTTTGTATGCAGGCTGCATAAACTTTAGAAATAAAACTCCCAACCTGCTATAGTGACAATGTACTCACGTCTATTCTAGTTCATTTATTTACTCCATGTCAATGGAAAACGGGGGGACATCAGATGAAAATCCCATCTTTTTGTCAAGGCTCATTCTGATTCTCATCGCTGATTGGTCAGAGGTCTTATGAGAGAGTCAGCAGCCTCCATCTAACAAGACTCATTGCCTGTAGTTGCCTTTTGAAAATGGTAATGATATACCTACACCTTGCCCTCCTACAGTCACAGCTGCTGATCTGAAAATTACAATGTCAGACATTTTACCACCTTAACGTTCATCAGCTCATCTATACATCTCTTAAAGCTTAACTGTAATGGATTTTTAGGTGGCTAGAGAGGTTAGCCAAGCAAAACAGAAATCATATCATGACTAAGTAGCATGCTGAATATACATTTCTTACCTTACGCTTGTTGGTAGGACACACGTAGAGATAACTTAAAATTGTTTTCAACCCAACTTTATCATTCAGCTTCTCATAGGTTGTCCCATAATCGGTTGACCTATAATTCAAAAGGAGCATTAATGAGGACAGAAGGATACGTCATTTGGCTGCTTGTCAGTATAATGTATGTTTTCCATAGTAGAATGGCTCTAGGGAAGTTGCTAAGTGATTCATGCAGTATATAATGATGCTTAATTATGTACACAGTGGCATCATGTGATGATTAACATTTGCATTTAAATTGAATTGGTAAAAATTAAAACTCCATCTCTCTACTGCTCCTTAACCCTTGATGCATGCACACTGCATAAAGGATGTGGTTAATTTTAAAAGCTTAAGAGATGAGCATTTCCCTTGTATTGACCAAAGAATAAAGAGATTTTTTGTTTAGATTTGACATTTCCAAACTTATGCTTTTAATCTTTGGCACAATGGAAAAGAAGGTTCTCCTGATTTATCTACAAGTTGTGTCTTCTTCCATGAGTCATAGAATATATGGTGGGTCAGTCCTTTCAGAGGTCAGTCAGTCGTTTCCTATTATTGAAGAGCAAGAAAATGTCTTAAAGAGTGAAATTTCACTATCTTACTCAGTGGCCTTTTCCAGGGTTAAGCAACCTGGAGGTGAGAGGACATTGCTTCTTGGCACTGACCCTATCTCTGTGGAGATTCTTTCATCTTTATCCAGCCAATGGTCAACAACTTATTGATTCAGACTGAATAAATAGGCCTTAATCACCTTCTCTAGGAAAAGCTATTATATATTTCAGAATTGTAATTGTATTAGACCATTATTACCACTGTGTGCAGTAGAGAATATTATCTGTATTTGAAGAAATTGGTTGAATGAACTTAAGTGACCTATACAAAGAAAATAGCCGATAGGTGGTCAGCTAGAATTTGAATCTAGGGATTCTGACCCTCAGTGCTGTGTTACCAATATTATGCCACAGCTTTATTTTTTTTTAATTTAAAGTAAACAGGTATAAATAAAAGTTCCTTTCAGCCTACTTTTTACATATAGGAGAGTCCTGATACCATTCATTTATTCATTCATTTATATATGTTTATAGAGCTCCTAAAAATGTACCAGGACACAATACATTACTCCTACTCTCAAGAATCCAACAGCTTTACACGAGAGGCAGCCACATATAAAGTTATGATGTGTTAAGTGCAATGATACAGATAAGAATTAACAAGGCTTAGAAGATAAAGTTGGTTTAATTAGAAAAACATAAAAATGTAATCACCTTAATTCATTTCTAATACTGATAAAAGTTACAAATTCCTACAGGTCAGAAAGGCTAAACAGAATTTTATGCTAATAATCTCATCACCATGAATTAAGTGCCTACTCCAGACCAGGCACATCAGCATGAAAGCTGTGTAACATATGATTCTGGAATTAAGGAAATAAGAATTTATTCTGGTTGAGGATCCAGGGTATTTTCACCCTAAAATTTATATATATATATTACCTATAAATATTATAGATAATATTGTATTCTTGCAATTATATATTGTAATACAATATGTAATATATTTGTATATGTTACAAATAGTAATTCTTCATAGAATTTAGATGATATTTCAAATCACCAAAGATTGGGATATAATGCAAAGAATTTTGGAAGACCTATGGAACTTGAAAATGGAAAATGGGTAGAACTTTTAAAAAGAGAACTGATAAGAGCACTATAAACTAGAAGGCACTTTGTATAACCTGAGGATAGAACCTGCTTTCCTCAGGGCCATTTGAAAAAAATCCAAAACTCTTTCATAGATTTTACCTCTGGATCATATTCTTCCCAAACTCATGCTGATGTGAAATTTCCTCCTATCTCCAAGAAATCTCTGAGACTTATTTTCTAACTTAGTGCAATCTCAGCATTTGTTAGTTTTTTCCCATTCTTACCCTGGCCTTACCGGGATACATGAGAAAAGTTTGAAAGGTAAGTGAGAAGAGAACTTTCTCTTCTTATAAAGACATATTTGTCTCAAAAATTTTACTAGCCTTTCTCTGGCTCCTTTTCTTGGATAGTTTTTTCTATTCATTATTCTGAACAATACTTACAAATTTAAGAACAAACAAATAGATTCAAAATCTACATTAAGGGTGGTGATGTGAGGAGAATGAAATGTGCAAATACTGTTGCATTAGTAAATTTTGCTATTGATAGGGGGAAATCAGTAGAACTAGGTTGGAAAGGAGAAAATGGTTCACTTTTCCTAGAGGGGGTAAAAGGAAAGGAGGCTATAGTAGTGGGGACCAGCCCAGAGAGAGTTGATGATTAGTTCTTATAATTTCTGTCAATTTGACCCCTGAGCTATTCAATGAATATTTTTAGATTAAAAAAATATTCTACAAGGACAAATAAAGATTATCCAATAAGAATTTTATATAAAATCATCCTCATTTGCATGTGTTTGTGGGTGTATGTATTTAACTGAAATCCAAATGTGATAAGATGATAATGAAGGAACTAGTTCAGATTTACATTAGCAACTTATTTTTTTTCAGAGAGCTTATACTATGTTATTGGATGCTTCCCTCTTATTATAACACTAGGGGCCCAGTGCAAAAATTCGTGCACTTTGAAAGGAACTGTGGGCTGCAAGGCTGCGGTGGGCACAGGGGCAGGTCTCGGCCCATCCTCTGCGCCCCCGCCTGGCCCCTCCAGCCATGGCCCCCAGTCCCCAGTCTTTGCGCAGCCCTGCTCCCGCTCCCACTACCTCTGCTCCCACCACCGCCACTCCCACACACTGACTGCGCTGTCCCTGCTCGCACTATTGGGGCCAGCACCATCAGCGGGTGAGCGATCGGGAATGGAGCTGGGCGCCGGCAGCGGGTGCCAGCAGCGGCTCTGGAGCCAGCAGTGGGTCCAAGCGGGGATGTTGCTGGCAGTGGGTGCAAGAGGCGGCTGCTGGCCCCGATCGCCCCTCAGGAGCAGGGGGAGGTGGAGAAGCCCTGAGGGGCAATCGGAGCCGGCAGCTGCCACACACACCTGCTGACGGTGCCGAGTGATCGGGGCCAGTGTTGGGTGCCGGCAGCAGGTGTGAGTGGGGCTGGCGCCAGCAGCAGGTGCAAGTGCCAGGCAGGACCATGGTGCATGGGAGCAAAGAATTTTCAGTAACCACCAAAGGCTGGCCCCAATGACAGCGACTGGCACCCCGCCTTTGTCCGGCACCCCGCTCACCTGCTCCACCATCCCACCACGGCTGACACCCACCATGTTCCATGCTCTGCCACTTGCTGCTAATGCCCGCCATGTTCCGCACGCGCCCCCTGGTGGTCAGTGCACGTCATAACGACCGGTTGTTTGGTTGTTCAGTTGTTCTGCCCTTTGGTCTATTTGCATATTAGCCTTTTATTATATAGGATCACCAATCTAAATCCTCTGAGGTATCTGCCATGACTTTTTGTGCTGTCTCTTGCCCCTTGATTTTTCAAACCTCATAAAGTAAAATAAAATGTGTGAATTCTCAATTCCAGCAAAGCTACATGTTTAAACATTATTCTACTGTAATTATTAATAGACAGGGAGGGAAAAAAATGATGCATTTTCACAAACCCAAAATGGCATAGACTAGCAGTTGCTCAAGGTTATAGCATAGAACTAGAATTAGAGAGCTGACATGTGCCGTGGATAAAACTAACAATCAGTTGGGATACACTGGCATAATGGTACAGAAATGAGACCATTCCAACATTTGCAAACCAGCTGGCAAATATTTGCAACACCAAGTTCTCTGGGTAGCACTTGTGCCAACCTCACCACATGGTTTATCCCCTGGAGGCCTCCTACATCTCTTTACAGTCAAGCAATCAAAAGACGGTGGGCTGGCAACACAGAGGTCCTCAAGGAACTTGCTCCAACACTAAGTGAAGCCCATGTTCTCATTGGTCAATTCTTTAGCCAATCCCAGTGAAGGCGACAGTGCCCTTGGGGAGGCACTGCACCCTGGAAGGCAATTCCTAGTGCCCATCTGCAAACCCCATTCACAGCCAACAGATGCTTCCAGTTATCTTCCCATGGTTAACTGTGGGAACTGCGTCTCCTAGGGATGTGGGCTCTGAAAGAGCAGAGGAGAGACAGACAGTTGAGCAGCAGGCTGCCTGGTGAGCCCAAGTACAAGCTGTTAATAAGTTAAAGTATCGTCCCTAGGGATGGGGACAGAGCAGTATTATCCAAGATTTTTTAAAAATATATTTTATTGATTTTTTACAGAGAGGAAGGGAGAGGGATAGAGAGTTAGAAACATCAATGAGAGAGAAACATCGATCAGCTGCCTCCTGCACAACCCCTCTGGGGATATGCCCGCAACCAAGGTACATGCCCTTGACCAGAATGGAACCCGAGACCCTTCAGTCCACAGGCCAATGTTCTATCCACTGAGCCAAACCGGTTAGGGCTATCCAAGATTTTTTTTAAAAGTTAGGAAACGTTTGATTAAACAAAATTTAATGTTCCTTTACTTCAGAACTTGTAAGTTTCATTATTCACATATACATAAATGTTATTATTCTAATAAATACTGTGAACCTCTTAAGTGCATATGTCATATAGCATTTTCCAAATGTATTTGATTATAAGATCCATTCTTGAGGTGTATGTAATGAGATCAGTGTTCTGAACAACATACTTTGGGGGACACAATATCAGTTTAAAAAAAGGAAAAGAAAGATTGTGGATCTTGGCTTTACAAGGAAAGGGGAACAATAAAAATATTTAAAACCAAATTTGCTAACATAAAGGCCAGCCTATGCGAACCATAATGTTACTATTGTTGTAAAGGCAAAACGCCACCACCAACAACAAAACCCAAGAAAACGATATTTAAAAATTATGCATCGTACAAAGACACAAATATATTTAAGATGCAATATAAGTAGCCTTGATGTCTCAATCTGTACCATTTTTTAAAACATTCCAAAACAAATAAATTTTTTTTCAGGTTTTGTTTACAGGTTGACTTATCTACAGATGAAAAACATAACTCCTGTCAGCACCTATGCTGTAGTAGAAAAAGCTAAAAGCTTCAAAAATAAGCACTCCA